ATATATATATATATATATATACACATATGTAAATGTATCTTTTAAGTTGAGTTTAAACTTATTATTCTATAAAATTATTATGAAATAAATTAAATAAAATAAATGTATAAAAGACTTATAATCTTATCTTATGAAAAAATATGATACTATGTATGACACTTAAATTAATTTTACATAGAATTATATATGCATCATGAAGATATAACAAGTTATATAAAAAATTGTACACATTATTACTGTTGTTGTATAGATAAAAAAATAAAATTGAAGTTATTAATGAAATAAAATATTTAATAAAAAATTGATATTTTATTTTCATCTATTTTTTCCCTACGAGATATATTATAATATCAAGGAAAAGGAAATTAAAAAACATAAATGTATATGCAATTGATGCAATATTAATTTTATTAAATAAAATAAAAAAATGAATTGTATCAAATAATATTAAATAATAAATAATATTAAAATAAATCAATAAATATAATAATCAATAAATATTTTATAAAATATTAGATTATTTTTGTTTTAATTTAATTTATTAAATTAATTTAAATTTAAATTATATTTTTTGAGCAAATAATACAAAATAAATTATTTTTTTAATTAATAATAATTAAATAAAATATTTAAAAAAAAATTATTTTTGAAGATATATTTAATTACTTATTATATTTCATTTTTTAATCATTTATTAAACGAAAAATTTATATTTAATACAACATAATAATATTTTATAATAATATTTTAGACACATAAGTATTTACAAATAGATAAAGAGCATAAAGTACATATATCTATGATTTGAAAATAATACATATTATACAAAAAGATAGAAAAAAAAAAAATTTTAAAATATGTCAATAAATTTAATTATAAATTTATGTTTAACAAATATTAATAAACATAATTCATAAAATTTTTTAATATAATATTTTTGTAAGCATAAAAAAGTAAGTGTATTATTAAAAAAAGATAATAAATTATTTTATAATTTCAAAACAAAATTTGTTTGAAATTTTTTAACATTAATTAGAAAATGAATACTTTATGCACAAATAAGAAATTAATTTTTATTTTTTTATCTTTTTCACAACTATGAATTTGCAGTACTTTCCTTTGAAAGTTGTAATACATGTATAATAATATCATCTATTGTACTTGTTGTTAAAAGACATTTTACCGTATTATCTTCTATGACAACCATAAATAAACGTTTTATGTTTTCTCTTAATCTTTCATTAAAAAGTAAATTACTTTCTGATGTTAATGGTTGATGTCCACATCTTCTAATTACAGCTTCTAGAATATCTTGAATTGGAGCCTCAGGCCAACCAAAGAGCTGTACAGTGTGTGTGTGTGTGTTAAATATTATTTAATATAATATATAATTAATATTATTATTATCATTATTATTATTATTATTGCAATTTATACCTGAAGTGTGTCTTCATCAATTAATATTTTTAAAAGATCTGTAACAGCTTCTACCAATTTATCAGGAGAAAGTCTTGTAGAATTTCCATTTTTTGTTTTTTGTACAGCAACAGTAGCAATGTTATATAATTGTATTTGTAAATGTTTTCTTTCAACTTCATTCATTACATCTTCTAACAAGTCACGATGTTTTGCTTTAATGTGCCTCATTAAACAATCTTGTCGTATGAAAACTCTATTACACTCAACACAAGATTGTGGTGGTTCTCGTCTATGAGTATTTAGATGAGCTTGCAAAGAAGACTTCGTAGAAAAAGCTTTTGTACATTTATCACATTTAAATGCTATAATGAAGAGGATATTTTTTAATTGTATTTTATATTTTATAATATTATTCAATAATTTCCTTACCTTTAATTCCTGTATGAAGTATTGCGTGTTTAACAAGATCTTCTCTCCTAATAAATCTTTTTTCACATACTTGACATGTGAATGGAGTTGCTCCTTCATGAACGAATTTTTTGTGAACATTTAAACGAGCTTTTCTGTTAAATGCTTTTCCACATACATCGCAATAAAAACCATTTTCACCAGTATGATGAAATACATGTGCTCTCAATTGAGCGGCCTGAATAAATGATTTAGCACAATATTGACAAACATGAGGTTTCTCGCCAGTATGAGTCCTTTGATGACGATTTAAAGTTTCTCGAGCAGTAAATTTTTTTTGACACTATAATAATTAATAGATTAATTAATTATTACTTTTATATTATTAAATTGAATTAATAATATTTATAATTTAATTAAATTTTTTTGTTGTGTATCATACATATCCTGCATTAAAAACTTACATTAATTTCCCGAAGTATACGAAGTTTGCTTGTAATTACAAAAATTATATAAGAAAATTAATATTATAAAATATTGGAATTTATATAATTAAAATATAATGCCAAAAGATGTAATTTATTAAAATTATTTCATTTCATTCATATAAACAATACTTACATATTTACATTCAAATGGTTTTTCTCCTGTATGTATACGTCTATGTTTTTTTAATGCAAGAGAAGATAAGAAAGTCTTTGGACATAAATCACATTGAACTGGTCGTTCTCCTGTGTGTACACGTTCGTGAATTAATAATTGTTGATTAGTAAAGAATTCCTTAGAACAATATTTACAAGGCTTTTTTTGTCTTTGAGGAGTTCCAGCATGAATTCGTAAATGTTCACGTAAATTATCCTTACGTGTAAATATCTTTTTACAAATCTATTAAAATACAGGTAATTAATAAATTAATTAAATTTTAATTAATTAATTTTAATATATAAAAATTATAAATATTATTATTATACTATGTATTAGAAAATTTACTTGACAGCAGAATGTATTACGAATATTTCCATGACATCCTGATTGCATTATATGGCGATTTAAATGATAGCTTCGTGAAAAATAAGTATCACATGGTTCACATCTATAATTTTTTAAATTTTAAATTATATCATATTCTTCTTAATTCTTTGATATTAATACAATAATACTAATTATATTAATAATATTAATACTAACATGTAATTCAATTTACCTGAAAATTTTTCGATCTGCATGATTGGTATAACGATGTCTATTCAATGATTTCCTATCACAAAATGATTGTCCACAATCTTTACAAGTACAAGACTCACACTGCCAATGGATTACTACATTGTGTCTTTCTAAAGATGATTTTTCTTTAAATGAAAGATCACAATGCTGACAGATAAATTCACCACCACTGTGTGCAGTGCTCAAATCTTCAGCACAGCAATGGCATTGTGTGTCACGTACTGGCGTAATTACTGGCTTATAATTGTTACTTTTTTGATTATTAGAATTAGAATCTAAAATTTATTTAAAATATATTTTTTTAAATAATTCAATAAAATTTTATGTAATAAATCTTATGCAATATACCTTTTACATTAGAATTATCAACATAATTTACATTATCATATTTCTTTTCATCTTCTGAATCATAATTCTCAAGAGTATTTAATTGCAAAATATTAGCATCTTCATTGCATACATTTAAATGTTCTTTTAACATCTATTAAAAATAAATAATTTTATAAAAATACATATATTATATTTAGTAACTAATAACACAATGTTAAATAAAATCAAACTCTTACATCTTCCGAATGAAAAACATGATGACACGTAACACATTCATAATCTGTTATAATTTGTATAATTTGACCATCATGAGTAATAACTGTAATGAGTAATAAAGTATAATGAAAAAGAACTATAATAAATAAAAAAGAAAATAAAACAATGAATTTATTATAAAATATTATAAAAAAAATATATAAACATAAACATTCATCAAACAATTATATTTACTATAGCATACCTTTCATGTCAGTGGATTCTTTTTGTTCAGTAGACATTATAATAGTTTCTTGTATATCTGAAACTTTAAAAATTAAGCATTAATACCATAACTATTTTTAAAAGTATTTGTGTATCATATTTATGCATTATGATTACCAAATAATTTTTCTAATTGAGTTGCATCTCTCATTAATACTGCATTTTCAACTTTCACGATTTCTATAACAAAAATGACGCATGTCATATGCTACGTAATAATTAATATAAAATATATTATTTTTATTATAAAGAGATACAAATACCCATTATTTCCTCCATAATTTTTGATTTTAATAATTTAAACAACGAAAAAATCGTTTATGTTGTTTAAAAATTAAATATAAATGTATACTTTTATAGCCTGTGTGCTCAAAAATTATAAATTATAATATTCTACACTCTAGCAAGTATATTCGCAACTTATTGATAATTTTAATTAAAATTTTATTAAAATGGAACAAAAATTTAAAAAAAAATTTTTGACAATTGTTTGATTATTATTAACTTTTTAAGCTTCTCAATCACCTGCACTGCCCCTGGAAAAATAATCCCTGCAAACCTAAATGCACATCAAAATGGCCTATGTCAAGGGGCATATATATGTATGTATATATATATATACATATATATATATGCCTTCCATATTTTTATTTTGTTTTCTATAAATATTTTTTAAATTTAGGTTAAATTTATAATTTTAATATATAAATCATATTTTTAAATGTTGTAATTTTCAATATTTATTTAAAAATGAATTAAAAGAATAATATTTGTTGTATAATTAAACAGGAATAATTATATACAGAAATAAACGATGATTTTAATTAGTTAATATTATTAAAATAAAAAATTATTAAATTAAATAGAAATTAAAAAAATATACACATAAAATTTTATATATGATGTGCTTGATGATATATTTAACATAATTTTTTAAACTTAATGTGACGATACTTTTTTCATTGTCGATCGTTGATTGGTGAATTGATATATTTATTTCTTTTATGGTATGCAACAAATCATATCTATTGAAAAATATAATAAAAAACTCAGGTTGATTGTAATTATATTTTATATATATTTATTTATAAAAGTTCAACAATTTATTTGTATTGACATTGTTTTACATTGTAAAATGTAATTTATTTCTTGGGCAGTATTGCATTATACATTAATGATAAAATGTATCATGTTAATCAAAAGTTTAATAATAACATATAATACATAAATATTAAATAATAAGTATCAAAATATCAATGAACTTTAGGTTTTACAGATTTTACTTTTTTCAATTTTTTAAGACCATTGATATTTGACTTTAATAAGTTCCAATATGCTTGTTGAAATTTATTTACATCCTTAGAATGTATCTGAAATATAAAATTAATTATTTATATATTGGTTTTATTAATAATAATTAAAATAATAAAAAAATATTAAATTATACATACAACAGTGGAAATCTTTTTTGACCTTAATGTAGCTCTTACTAAGCAAAGAAATTCACTTGGTGTTGGTAAAGGAGGTCTACCTTCTCTAGGCACTGGTTTATTATGTCCATTAACTGAAGGTAAAATTTACGAATAAATTTTACATTCCAATTATATTTATATAAAATTAATATAAATACTTACACCTTTTAATAGTAAGTACTACAGAACCAGAAAGTCGAGATTTGTCGAAAAGTCGTGTCAATTCCACTAAAAACTGAAATAAAATGTAACATATAAGTTTCGAAATATTAATTTTTTATGGATGAACAATTACCGCATCATTTTCCAGCAAAACCATTTTGTTAATTTCAACATATGTTTTTAAAGTTTGTTAAATATAAATAGTGTAACACTTTATTATGTTAATATTCGAACATTCAATTCCTCCAAATGACAACCACAATGATACTGTAAAGAACTTAATATTATGGAGAATTTACATGTTGACGACAAAATATTTTCAATTTTGTATATACATAGATTAAATATTTACAATATATTATATATTCTTATTGATGATTTTAGAATTAGAAGTTCTATTATATATAGTTTAATTAATTTATTATTATTTATTAATGTAAATATTTTTTAGAAATTTACGTAGTAAAAAAAAAAACAATGAAATTTAAAATGTCTTTGATTTGTAGAAACTGTGTAGTTTTCCTGATTCAAGTCTGGCGTTTATGAAAATTTTTCGTTACGTGAATGGAGAATATAGCAAATATTGCATCAAAATGAGCGATACAAGTATACAAGTAAAAATTTATAAAACAGATAAATGTATTTATGAAAATAATAATAATGTAGTGCTAAATGCAAATAATTTGAATAGCTTAATTTCTTCTTTGAAAAACACACAAATTGAAATCAACGATTTTTTAACTAGTCTTATAAAAAATCAAGATAGTTCTGATAATACAGAAAGTAAATAAAAAAAAAATATATATATATATATATATATATGTATAAAAAAAATATATAAAAACTATTTTGTTGGAAATTTATAAGAATTAACAGATTCTTGTCAATTTTAGATCAGCTAGTATCGGAAAACGATTCGGATTTTGAAGACGAGATTCAAGTTAACTCTAAGAAATCTAAACTAACGGATTAAAAATTTAATACAAATATTTCATAATTCAAAATTTGTATAGTATTTGAATATTAAAAATTCTATACTTTATTATCATTATGTATTTGTGTATTTATAAGTAAGAATTTGTGATGGTTAGAAATAATAAATCGAAAATAAGCGAAGAAAATATCGTTAATAACAAAAAGTAAATATAATTTTGTTATATAAATTTATTATAAACATATAATAATTGTAATTTTATAACTTTTTCATTTTTTTCATATTAATTAACTCTGTCATAGAGTATATAATATCAGTATTTTTAATTATACTTTATCTACATATATTATAATTTAATTAATATCATACAATTTTATTAAAGATAGAACATGTCTACCATGCTCTCAAATGAAGCTCAACTGCGCTATGTAATAGAATGGTTTCAAGAATGGTCTGAAATGCAAAGAAGTGATTTTTTGGATATACTTTTGGAACAATGTGGACCTTCGGGTCTTGTTAATGGATTAGTATCTAAAATGGAAAATTTAGGACATATAAATGAGTCTGATAGACCACCAAATTTATTTCAATGTCGTGTAAAATTGTTTCGAGAATGGAGTCATAATTGGTCTCAACAAGAAAAAGATTATTTACTTTTATCAATAAAAAATACTGATGCTGCATTTGCAGAAAAATATGATGAAAAACTATCAACATTGGTATGTGAAGAAGAAAAATCATAAACAAATATCCAAAAATATATAATATTCTTTATTATTGTGGAATTAATTTTTAAGAATCTCTATTATTCTTAAGAATAAGAAAATGTTCAATAAAAAAAATATGTAATTAATAAGTAGGTTTGATATTTATATCTTATGTAAATTTTAACAAAATGTAATATGTTATGCAAGATAATTGAAATATTTTAAATGATTTGTAATAGTTTTGATAGAATAGAATTTATGAAATTCATATATACATTCCATTATTATTTCATATCTGCTTTTTATAGATTTCTTATAGATTTTTTCTATTTATTCATAAAAAAACATTTTTATTATCATATTATATATTATATATAAGCACAATAATTACAGATTATTAAAAAAGGTTTTATTTTGAATGTATATAATATTATATGTTTATAAAAATAGATATCAAACAAATATTATTTATTATCATATATGTATTTAATTAAAATAAATTTGTTTAACTTCATTATTATATTCTCTTTTTTTATAATTATATCATATCCATTTCATATATAATTATTGATAATAAAATCAAATATATATCTTCTATTTAAATTACAAAACAAAAAATAAAGATTATGCATAAATGCATAAATATTTTTGTATATTATTTTAAAAAAATTTATTTATTATGCAATGTTAAGAATTTTAATTTTTATTTTTATTTTAACATCTACAATAATCTATAAGTAATCATTTAAAAATATTTATATAAAATTAATTTTTTTAATATTTAATAGAATAGATATATATATAAATATTTTATTTTAATAAAGTAAAATTATAATTTTGGTTCTTGCTGAAGCCATTTTATACATATTGTTTTAATAGCATTTTGACCAAGCTTATCAGATTCTTTCAAAATTTTCCTTATATCTTGTACTCTTGAATGCTTGACAGCTAATAAATATGCTGCTTTTAATTGTTTGCATTCAATATATGCATTTATCTGAAAAAAGAAAAATTTTTAAAAATATATTAAATTTTTTATATTGTATCATCATTTTTTTATCTTACTTTAAGTTCTATATCAGTTATTAATCTAATAAGATTATAAATATTATTTTTAAGAACTGTTTCAGTTTCATCATGAGTTAGTAATAATTTTATACAATGTGTTAATACATAATCTGATATAATATATGAATTTGGAATCCCAGATGTATGACAACATTTAATTAATTGTTCTATTGCAGAAATATTATTTTTCATTACTAAAATATATCCAGTTAGAGAATACACTTTTTGTTGTGGTAAATTATAATCTGCAATAATAATATTATTTAAATAAACAAATAAATAAAATTATCAAGTTATTAAAGTATTTTTAAATTTACAGACCTTGCATTATTCTAAATGCTATACCGAATCCTTCTTCGATATTTCGCCCGCAAAGAATGGCTAAAACAGCTAAATTAATCTTTTGTTGTTGATTGCCAAATAAAGTCGGTATTTCTGAAATAGTTGAATTATTATAATCCTTTTTTGGAAATAAATTCAAATATTGAATAGGAGCTCTTTCTTCTTTTTCACAATTTGCTAGAAATTTTGTAATTTCCATTTGTCTACAAATTGTATTTATATGTTTATCTATTTCTAATGGTTCCATTTCCATTGTTAGAATTCCTTGATTACTATGTATTGAACTCGTGCTTTTTTTCCTTTTTCTATTTAAAGTTTCAATTTGCAACTCAGATTCTAAATGTTTTTGAGCATCAAACAAAAAATTTACTTTAGCATTTAAGTCCGAGTAATTAATTACTTCATGAAGATAAAAACGAATACACGTCATAGCAGCGCGTATAAAATCTCTCATGAAAAGTTGCAAATGATATAAAATATTTAAATATTGTCTTTTTTCTAAGCTATGACAAACATATATTAAATATTTTTTCCAAATTAGTAAATTCGAATCTTTTTTCATCATTGCTTCATGAAGCTTTTCAATACTTCCATTTCTTAAACAATATAAATAAATTACATTGAAAAATAAATCTGGTTCCAAATTATTTTCTAAAGTAAAAGTAAGACATTTTTCAAATTCTTCATGCTTTAAAAAAAATTCTAAAATTGAATTATAACTTCCATAAGTTAATAGATAATAAATGCTTTCATGATAATAAATATTTTGTATCATTATAGATGTATTTTTATTGTTGGGTTGTTTTTGATTGATAATTTTAAAATTGCTAAAGCTATTTAATATTTCTTGAGAAGGATTGAATTTATATTGATGAGGATATTGTACATATTTATAAATACTTAAATTATCTAATATTTGTAAAATTTCTACAAGTAATGGTGGATCTTTTAATGGACGATTTTTTGAAAATTCTGTTTTCTTTGAACTTGATTCAACCATTTTAACTTCTTCATTTTTTAGATTTTGAGTTTCACTTTTACTTGATATTTTTGATTCTTTTGGATAAGACAAAATTATCCAGTCATCAAAATTGTCACATTGAATTTTATCAAGACAATGGAAAAATTTATCTCGTGCTTGATGAAAATATCCCATTTTTAAACAGGCCTTACCCCATGTTGCCCAAACTCCTTGTGTATCTAATCTGTATGTACCTGCTTTAGTGCTTACATCTAAAGCAAGAGTCCATTGTTCTTTTTCAATTAAAAGATCTCTTAATTTTATTAATGTTCGATCATGTAAATTATCAGAAGGAATCAAATGTAAACAATCAAATTGAATGAGACTTGCAATAAGATCTACTTGAGATAGAAAACGGTCACAGTGAGTTAATCCAGTATTAAGACCAAGTTTGGCACATTTAACTTTTGCAGCTACTAATAGAGAATGTATCATTTTAATAATTACAATGTGATCAACTTCAGGATTCACTTTTCCACTACTAACAGGTTCTAGAAGACGTTTCATTTCATCACAACAATCTAATAAGAAACTGTAACAATACATATTTTTACTAAATATTTTTATATGAAAATCTCATTAAATAAATAAAACAATATTTGAAATTCATTACTACCTTGTATATGTTTTATGTTCAGAATGTAAGTTAAGAATAGCTAAACATAAAGAAATATTTGGAGCATATTCAAATGAAAATTCTTCTCTAATAGTTTCATTATGTTTTTCATCTCTTGTTAAACGCCAATAATCAAATGTTTCACTACTTGGAGTTGATTGTGTTCCTTGAAAAGTATGCATTTGTAATATAGTTTGCCGTTTACAATCATTGCATACGCGTACAAGTACAGAAGGTGGATAACCAGATACTTGCATACGATGTTGAGAACATGTTGCGCAAATAACACGACCACATCTACGACAATGATGTCGTCTATTAAACATCGAAAATATAACATTTTTACAACAGCTACATTTTCTGGCCTATTACATAAAAAATAATTAAAACAGTTTTAAATATTATAAATTAAAGACAATAATATTGAAGGATAAAATACATATATCTTCTACATACTTTATCATTAGGTATCCATTCTTCTTTAGTAGGAACTACTATGGGCATAATAAACTCAGTATTTTCTGTCTCTGAAGAAAAATATTGCATATTTTTCGATTTGTTTTCTATAGAATCACACTGTAAAGATACACGACAATCCAATGATTTTTGAGCATAAAATCTTATAATT